GAAAAACAAGGTGGAAAATATCTCATGTGCATCAACCAGCGAATGATATTCAAATGCCCACACTATCTGTAATTATCTACAGTCAACACAAGTCCCGCTAAAATTCTAAACTTATGTCCATGATCTGAAAAATTAATACTAAAACACGCATGCTATCTGCAATTATCTACAGAATCAGCACAAGTCCTGTCAAAATTCTAAAGGCAGTTTTCCTGGAAGTAGAAATTCCTAAAATTTAAGTAGGACCATAAAAGACCTTTCTTGAATAGCCAAAACAGCTTTGACCTCAAAATCAAACATGGAAGTATAAGACTACCTAATCTTGATACATAATACTAATCTGTAGTAATCAAAATTGAAATGTAATAATATAAGTAGATATGTAGATCAATTGATGGAATATGGTGCTTGGAAATAAACCAATACAATTATAGTCATAGAATGCACAGCTTGCTAGAATATTTGGGATAGAGCAAAAGCCAATGTAAGGAGAAATTCATAACTGTGAATGCTTCAATTAAAACATTGAGACTACCTCAAATAAGTAATCTGATGATGCACCTCAATATCTTAGAAAAACAACAATCCAAACGAGCAGTAGATGCCAAGAAATAATAATAAAATGGAAACTAAATGAATGATATGTGGAATCAAATGAAAAACCCATAGCCAAACTAACAAAAAGAAAGCAAGACAGAAGATCCAACAAATAAAACTGGAGATGAAAGTGATTACTATAGATTATAATAATATCTCAAGAATCATTGGGGTATACTTTCAAAATTTATATTCCAAACAACTGGATAATGTAGAAGAAATTGATGAATTCCTACATATGTGACCTACCAAAATTAAATCAAGGAGAAGCAAACATATTAAACAGAACCATAAGGAACTCATTAGATTGAAGCAGACAAAGACACAAAATTTCTCAATAAAATAGGTAAAATGAATTCAAGAACATATTAAGATGACATAAAAAATGAGCTGGTTTCAACAAAAGCAAGTTGGGTTCAATATATGCACATTTATATATATATATAATATTATGTGTAAGATTGTATTCATATCTTTAAGAAGGGAAATCACATTATTACTTTAATGCAGAAAAATCCTTTTATACGTTTCAATTTCCCTTCATGATAAAGCCATGAATGAAATAGAGATGGAAAGAACCTATCTTACCATAGCAAAGATTATACATGAATAAACCATTTAGTAACACATCGAATATGGAAGAGACCTTTAGTCTTCTAAAATATGTAATGAAACTAGAGTGTCTACTTTCTCAACTCTCACTCAATATAGTGTTCAGAATTTTAGCTAGGGTTATAATACCAGGAGATAAAAGGGATATAAATAGGGAAGGAAGAAATCAAATTATCCCTATTTGCAAATATTATTTTATACTTAAAAGACCCTAAAGGTTCCCCCAGAAACTATTAGAACTGATTAAATATTTCTAACTAACTAAGAGAGTACAAAATCAATTTTGAAAAACAGTAGCTTTTCAATGTAACAGTAGCAAACTTGAGAAAAACAGAAATCAAAAAAACCACATTCATAATAGCTTTTAATAAACTTTATAAATAAACTTAACCAAAGACGTATAAGATCTCCAAATGAAAAGCTGAAACATTGAAGAAAGAATTTGAGGACATTGGAAGATGGAAAACTCTCCCAGGCTCATGGATTAGTAGAATTAATCCCGTAAAACAGTTATATTAGCCAAAATCAAAAAGCCCTTCAATATCCTAATGACAGTCTTCATTGAACTATAAAACCCTTATGGAACTGTAAAATCCACATGGAAGCAGAAGACCCTGAATCACAAAAGCAATTTTTATGCAGAAGAGCAATATTGAAGGCATCACAATATTATCTCAAATTATGTTACTGAGCCTTACTAACAAAAACCATGTAGCATAGGCACAAAAGTATCTACATAGACCAGTTGAATAAAACTGAAGAACATAAGCCCACATAAATACTGTCATCTCATATTTTGAGAAAGGTACCAAAAACAAACACTGGAGAAGAAATACCATCTTTAACAAAGGGTACTGGGAAAACCAAGTTTCCCCCTGTAGATGAACTTTAAAAAAAAAAATGATCAAAAACAGTGTGAGATCAGAGACCTTGGGAACTTCTAGAGGAAAACACATGTGAAACTTTAAGAGGCAGAGATAGGAGGCTCCCAGGTAAGTTCCAGCTCAATTCCTCCAAGTCCTGTGTCTAAAGTAAATGATGTCTTCAGCAATAGGGTCTTTGTAGCTGAAGTTTTCTCTGGTCCTGCTCCTCTCCCATGGCCCTGCGGCCACTTGAACCCAAGTAAACACACAGAGGCTTTTATTAATCAAAACTGCTTGGCCATTAGCTCAGGCTTATTAATGACTAGCTCTTACACTTCAATTAACCCATAATTCTTATTTATGTTTAGCCATATGGCTTGGTACATTTTCTCAGAGCTGCCTTCACATCTTGCTTCCTCTGCGTCTGGCTGGCCACTCCTGACTCAGCCTTTCTATTCCCCGAATTCTCCTCTCTGCTTAGCCCTCCTATACTATACTTCCTGCCTGTCTACTGGCCAATCAGTGTTTTTATTTATCTGCCAAATCAGAGCAACACACATTCACAGCATACAGAAAGACATCCCCAGTAGGTCTTAGCTTCAAGTTCTAAGAGACAACAATGGGCAGAAATAGCTTGTATTGGTTTTGATGTCTCTTGAACTCCCCTGATCAACAACAGCATGCCAGGTACTAGGGTTTTTCATGGACAGTGTGTGGCCTTGGGGACCTTATCACTCCAAGTAGTGTAACCTACTTTAAATTATTTATATGTGCATACACATACACACATATTTTTTAAGTAAACAGAAAATAATCATCTTTAATGCCCCTTATACCTCTTCCTCTCTTCCCTCTGTTTTGTCTTCTTTTTCACTCCCTAGCTAAGAGCCCTCTTGTTTTTCTAATGTTCCCCAGCAGAGAACCTGTACCATACTGTGCCCCTCATCACAGGTCCTCTCACTGTGATCCTTTTTATTCTGTTTCTGTGGCAATACACATCACCTCAATAAGGCGTGCACAATGACAACCATAGTTGACATGTTAACGTGAATGGGGGAACCTCATAAGGCCTCAGCTCTAGATGAAGTCAGTTAATTAATGGCTGCTAAGAGAAGGAGAATCAGTTTTCTCCAGGGATGATCCCCATGATAGGTTACCCAATCTCAAGTAATCAGTCAGTCCTAAATGTGTAACACTAAACAGACTCAGTAGGTTGTACTTATATATGCTTATATATAAGTGTATGAATAATAATTAAAGAAGAGGTTATGAATTTGAGAGAGTGGAGAAGCACGGGAAGAGTTGGAGTAGGGAGAGAGTGGGGTAGAAATGATGTAAATACAGTACTTATATATGAAATTCTCAAAAAAATATATTAAAAAAAGTACTTAAAAGCCCAGAATGCTCCAGAAAGGCTCCAAGGGCAGTGGAAATAATTCCCAAAACTGAAAAGTGGGATTCTATGAAATTGAAAAACTTCTACATAGCCAAGGAAGGAACAACCAGAGTGAAGAGAGAGCTTACAGAATGGGAAAATGAAGCTGTACTTCAGGTATAGGACTAATACCTAGACTATATGAAATTAGACACCAAAACTTCAAATGAGCTGTTTTTTCTCTCTGTTGCATCACCCATAAAATAACACAGGGGAGGGAGTGGGAGCCTTTAGTGCCTTGTAGAGGCACTAAGATCATTTACAAAGGCTCTGACCCTGGCTTGATCTGTAGAGGGCATGAGGTCCTCTGCTTACAGATAAGCACTAGGGAGACCAGGAATGTTAAACACATAGGGCTGTTCCTTCAAAGGAAGAGGTGTAGAGCCTGTTTTCTGCCCAGAAGGCTGGGAGTGGATGTGGTTAATAGCCCAGTGACCTCTGCATTATCTCTATGGCAAGGCCACTTATGGCTCCCCCAGAGTCTTAGTTTATCTCAGTTACCCTCCCTAGATACTTATCTCGAGCACGGTTTCTCAGCCTATACTACAACCCGTTTTTATGGGACATGTAACAAGTATTTTACAAACGGGAGCAGAGAGGGTTAATAACCTGGTGACATTTACACTGTCTGTATGACTGAGACCACACCAGATCCTCTCCAGAGCCTTAAGATGTCACATGTAGTCAACCCATAGAACCCATCTTTCTGGAAGAGGTCACATGTCCTTTGAAAAGAGTTTCAATATAATCATGTCTTGAGCTTTGTTGTGCACATGCAATTGAGTTAATTGTCACCAGGGAATCTTTTTTTCTTCCTGAATTGTACTGTACTTAAATATGCCTAAAATAAACTGCCCAGTGTCAGACTCTCAAAGTTTGAACCAGCTCCAGTTACTGAGTTACGTTGAACCAGACTTCCTTCTTGCCTCATGTGGATCATTACTCTGCTGGCCATGGTGTTTGCAGAGACCCCCACACTGATCTCCTCCCAAAGCCCCTCTCCTAATCTCAGAACTGAGAAGTTTAGAATTTCAGCATAAATTTGGGGTAACATAAATACATTCAGTCTAGTACAAGCCGATTATAAGGCAGATGTACAAAAAAAGTTATAACCCTTTGCAAAAATCATTAGTATTATTTATGAATTTGAAAATGAGTGTCAGATGTTGTTAGAAAAGTCAAATTTTGGATGCCCATAGTTGTTTTGAATATTTTTATTTTGTGTGTCTTTGTGGCTGGGTACCGTGTGCAGTGACTGTGGAGGCAAGAAGAGGGCTCCTCTGGAGATGGGGTTCCAGTCAGTTGTGAGACACCATGTGGTAGTGGGAGCTGAACCTTGTCCTTCCTCTGCAAGAGCAACGTGCGCTCTTAACCACTGAGCCATCTTACCAGCCCCCACAGCTGTTTTGAACATTCTTGTACCATACATTTATTCAGTTGAATGTTCCTTATTGGCTTTTTTAATATTATACTTAGTGTTTTGTTTCCTACAGACATGAAGCCATTATCATCTCAGGAACTGAAATGGCCAAACAACTCCAAAAAGAAATACAGCAAGGTGTGGAATCATGGATTGCTCTTGGGAACAGGAGACCCCACCTCAGTATCATTTTAGTGGGAGATAACCCAGCAAGCCACACCTACGTCCGGAATAAGATAAAAGCTGCGTCCGCTGTAGGTGGGTATGTGTGTGAGCTGTAACTGTTATTAAATGTTTCTGTTATCACAAAAAGTTACACAATCATGATTGATAATTATCAAGTAAGCACCATTCAAATAGCATGGCCTATTGTTATTATTAGAAATTATTCAATTACCCATGCTTATATGAATGTCTTACTGTGTTCAGGTTTCTTATAGAATTATTTCAGTGTGATTTCCTATTTTATGGATTAGGTAATAAGATTCTTCACTTTTAAAGAACTTTGTATATTGCATCTGCTTTAACTGAATCATAAACTTCCCTGATTTCCTGTCTCCCTTGGTTTCTTTAAGGCTACTCAGAGGGCTTTTCACAAATCAGTGCAAGCTGTCTTCTGGAGTAGTAGCCAAGTGATGCCTAGGAATCAGGAGAGAATCCCTGTACTGACTGAGAAACCCCTCCTCCGGTGACTAGAACACTGACTCTATCGAAGGGCTTTCCTTCCAGTGGGAGGATCAGAGGAGCCCAGAGACATACTGGGGGAGACAAAGAATATTCCCATGACCTTCTCTGCCTGGCTTTCTTCCAGGTATCTGCAGTGAGCTCATTCTAAAGCCCCAGAGCGTTTCTCAGGAGGAACTTTTGGATATCACTGATCAGCTGAACATGGACCCAAGAGTCAGTGGTATATTAGTTCAACTACCACTTCCAGGTACATGATGCTCTTTTGTGTATTTGGTTGGGCAGGAGAAAAGGCACATCATGGCATTGGCGGCCATTTATAAAACACATTTAGAAGAGGACTGGCTGTTATCTTAGTACTGTAGTAACAGCTAACAGTTTCTTGAGGATTTACACATATGAGATTAAAAGCTGTGAGTAGAAAACTTAGGTGTGGGCAAGACATATGTCTCTGTTCAGCCGGCACAGCCACAAATGATTGTAAGCTGAAGGCAGGTGGTGCTCCTAACACACAATGGGGAAAATTAGCAATTTTTCTGTGTCTCTTAACAATTTTTGTTCAGGTATTAAAAAACTAATCTTATTGTGGTTTGTAAATACATAGTGACATAAAAACTAGTGTGACTAGTATTTGTCCACCATATTATCTTTTAAAACATTAGACGGAAGAATTAAAGTATCTATTTTTTTTGTTGGTTTGTTTTATTTTTTAAATAAAACCATATCAAGAGTGGTTTGCATAGTGATCAGTGGCTCGATGTGCAACTGATGTGGAGCAAAACACCTTTTCAAGGGCATGATGAACTGATTGGCCAAATTCCTTCCTAAGCAGTTTATCTTTTATATGTACATTCAACATCATGGATATTGATGAGAATTCCTTAATGTGAAGTTTGAGCAGGTGTTGCTTCCTTTGGAATTCTGTCTTGCTTTTCAGCATGGCCCTGTCCCTTATTTCTCCCTGACCCCCACTCAGTTCCCCACTTCACAGGATGCAGTGTTAACATGCCAGTCGGTTGGCATGCCCCCATTTACATGCAGGTTGAATCCTCTTGGAGTGACTTAATATTCTTGTGTATGTCAGGGTTTTACAGATTAGTTCTTACCATTGCTTCATGCAGGCAGAGGGGTCTCCTGCCTCTCCCTGCTGTTTACTGTTTTTTCGGATCCACTCACAGACATTACACTACATTGTCATCTCTTGTTTATTTACCTTTCATATTTATAGGCTAACCCTCTTGGTCTCTTCTATACTTGTATAATGTCATGTGGGTGTAAGTCTGGGATACTTGTGAGGACACACTTTATGTCTGTATTTGAACTGAATAAGAAATATTCATTTCCCAATCAGATCTTTGAAAGAAATACATAGTTGGCCAATGATAACATGCTTGACTGTTATGTGACTCATATTTCTTGGATGTGACGCCCCAAGCAAAGCAAAAATAGTGAGAAAATATCAAATTTAAAAACTGATCCATAGTAAAGAAGTCATTAGAAGTCATCAACTTTTTTACTGGATGAAGAGATAACATTATAGAATGAGAGAAATGGTTGTGAACCATACAAATAATAATAATACATTAATATTCAAAATACGGTCATCTTAATACAACTAAATTGCTGTGGAATGTTGGGGCCATTCTTGGATTCCTCGTAGCTTTCTTTACCCAGCAGGTACGCATAGAGGATGATTAGGACCACGGGCCTGAGTGCAGGTGTCTGAGATGGTCTGTCCTTGGCTGTGCTGGGGGATGGTCTGTATGTCAAGTTGCTCTGATTGGTCAATAAATAAAACCTGATTGGCTGTGGCTAGGCAGGAAGTATAGGTGGGATTAACAGAGACGAGAAATAAAAGAACAGGAAGGCAGAAGGACTCACTGCCAGCTGCCACTCTGACAAGCAGAATGAAAGATACCGGTAAGCCACGAGCCACGTGGCAAGGTATAGATTTGTGGAAATGGATTAATTTAAGCTATAAGAACAGTTAGCAAGAAGCCTGCCACGGCCATACAGTTTGTAACCAATAGAAGTCTCTGTGTTTACTTGGTTGGGTCTGAGCAGCTGTGGGACTGGCGGGTGACAAAGATTTGTCCAGACTGTGGGCCAGGCAGGAAAACTCTAGCTACACTAAACAGCAAGAAAACAACCTCCTTAAGTGTTTTTAAAGGATTTGCATGTGAAATAAACCACACAGAGAGACAAATATTGAATTATACCACTAATATGTGGGATTAAAACATGTCAAACATGGCCAAGCCTGGTGTACTTGGCATTTGGAGGCAGGAGGGTCAGGACTCTTTGGCTACATAGTAAGTTCAAGGCCAGTCCAGGCTACATGAGACCATGTCATAAACACAGAAACAAACAAGCAAACATGTCAATCTCAGAAACATACCATAGAATGGTGGATACAGGAATTGAGGATTGGAGAGTGTTTATGAAGTCCTGGGCAAAGAATTTATTACTCTGGTTAGATATGACCAGTAGCTTCTAGAGACCTATTGTACAAAATCATGAGATAGTTATAACATATTGCCACAAAAGCAGATTTACATATTCTTACCACACAAAAGGAAATACATGATGTGTTGATTGATTTAGCCATTACATGAAATATGCACGTGGCAGAACATCATATTACATATCACAAAATCACATATAACTTCCATAATTAAAATGTTATAAAGTTATTTTCCAAACCACTATATTTCCTTCCTCAGAGTTTCTAAGTACATTCTATTTAGTTTGTCCTAACAAAAGCAAATTTGTGTCTACATGTTGCCTTTGTGACCAGTTAACTTGGTGACTTTGTTATTAATGGCCACTAGATGGCACTGGTTATCTGTCTGTACTACAGCCAAAAAAAAAAAAAAAAAAAAAATGCAGAGTAAGAAACAGGTAAGAGGGACCTCAGCAAATGTGAGGGTGGTCTGAGAGAAGGTGCTTTTCTATATGCAAAGCCAATAATATGTACACAAGGTCCCAGTGGTCAGCATCCACTGGACTAAGGTCTCTGTTATATGACGATTTTCTATTTACTAATTCAGTTTGAATCCTCACAGTCATCCTGTGTGGGTAGAGCTGTCGTGATGGGTATTTGCTGAGAAGAACACGGAGGTCGAGTCCCTTCCTTCTGAGTAACCAAGTCTGGATCCAGGCAGACTGATTCCTCATGCTAATATACATAACCATAGTTGATACATTTTCAGGGTATCAATATAAGCTAGTGGATAATGTAAATGTTTGAAGTGTGTGCATTCATGTTATACCTTTTAATATCTGGAGAGACACGATGTTGGAAGAGGTGGGTTTTATAAGAAAATTGTCTGGACTTGAGTCTTGGCCATGCCATTTACTGGTCACCTCTTTGTCTCAGTGTCTCCATCTGGTAAGTGAAGAAAATGCTGCCTGCTTCATAAAGAATTTTTAGCATTAAATATACTAATCAGAATAAAGGAGGACTTGTATGGGATATTAATTTTAAAATCCGATTATTTCGTGAGGAGAAGTCAATCTGAGTTATTTGTCTTTTAGATTTAGGTTTTTAGAAAAGACACCAAAGGAATAATAGGTACAGGAACCAGGATGAAATTGAAACCAGGTTGGAACAGGAGTAGAGTTGGGTTAATGGATTATTTGTGTAATGGGTAAATATAGGTTATTGTCAAGGTGATAGCTTTTGCTTTTTTGGTGACAGATTTGGACATACTTAAATTATGATGAAAAATAGAGAATTCACTGAAATTTGGGTATTTGGGGGTTGAAATCAAGACTGTGTCATAAGAGGGCTGGCTCTATTGGTTAAGTGCTGTGCAAATGTGACAATCTAAGTTTGGGTCCCTGGTTCCTATGTAAAAGGCTGAGCATGACAGTGCTTGCCTGTAGCCCTAGCACTGGGGAGGCAGAGGCAGGAGCACCCATGAGGCTTGCTCACCAGTTTATCTTGCCATATCTGCATGCTCCTATTCATTGAGAATATAGTTCAAAAGGTGAGGAGGAGAGTGACAGGGCAAGACACCTAATGTCACCTCTGGCTTCCACACACATGAACACATACACATACGTATAACACACACACACACACACACACACACACACACACACACACACACACACTAAAAATGAGTATCAACAAAAATAAATTATTATGTCATAAGCTGTGAATTGTGGTTAATTCTTTTAAAAACAATATTTTGAGAAGAAATTTTTGCTTCATATAATTTTGGCATGATTTCCATAATCCCATTCTGACAATGTTATTTATCTACTTTAAAGTTTTATAGGTAACTTTTTAAATGAGGTAAAAGACAAGAAAAGAGGCAGACAACTGTCTTGTAAATGGAACCTACTTCCACTAGATGGCAGCATTGAGCAAGCACCTTTTACAACTATCTTAGTACTTTGTGGGGACAGTCAGTTACTGAGACAATTTATATCTTCCAGGGATTTCTTTATCTCTGTAGCCACTAATGTCTCTTTCCATGCATGCCCAGGTGTAAACCATCTGAAGGGTGTTTTTGTTGTCCAAGTTTATAGACATGTCTTTTGAGATGACTTCTCAAAACAAAAACAAAAACAAAACAAAATAAAACACAACCACACACAAAAATAACAAAACCACTTCAAATTAAGGAATTTCAAAAGCAACAGTAATATTCTGCTTTTCTTACCATCTTTTTCTTTTTCCTTTATCATCTGTTTTTTGAGTGTATTCATCTCAAAATGTTATTTGCATGGTGTATATTTCTTTTTAAAAAATCTTTTTTACACACTGAGTAAATCCAATATTTAATTTTAATTTTAGTTTACACATGGAAAAATAACTTCACAGTGCTAGACACATAAATTGTGCCATGGCATAAAAATCTTGATCATATTTTGTTGGTTTCAAATATAATTTTTATTTTATTTTTTTCCTTCATTTTTTTTATTAAGAAATTTTCTACTCACTCCACATACTATCCACAGATCCCCCTCCTCCCTCCTCCCACACCCCAGCCCTCTTTCCCAAGCCACCCACATCCCCACATCCCCCAAATTGAGGTCTCCCATGGGGAGTCAGCAGAGCCCAGCACACTGAGCCTAGGCAGATCTAAGCCCCTTCCCACTGCACCAAGGCTGTCCAAGGTGTCACACCACAGGCACCGGGTTCCAGAAGCCTGCCCATGGACCAGGGACAGATCCTGATCCCCCTGCCTGGGTGCCCCCCAAACAGTTTGAGCCAAATAACCATCTTCTGTATCCAAACAAAGAGTTGGTTCTTTGAGAAAAAAAAAATCTTTTAAAAAATATGTATGAGCCCCACTAAATGGACTCAGCAGGTTGCATTTACATACTTACTCACTTATATATACATGTAACAATAAAGACTAAAATAAAAGAGGCTATGATATGAGAGGAGCAGGATTGGAGGTGTGAAAGAGGTTGGAGGGAGAAGACAGGGAGCTGATATAAAAACAGTGCACAAAAAAATTTTAAAAATAATTTTATTTAAGAAATTAAGATATATGTATTTATAGGCTATGTCTATGGTCCTCTGTATTATTGAATTTAATTTATAAAAATACTCTGGCCAGACAACTCAGGGGAAAAGGATACTTAAGGAGCAACTTGAGTCTAAATTATTGTTCCTGAGATGTTGGCATGCAAGGTACCTAAAGCAACATTTCTTCCTATCTACTGTGGGTTTAACTTTTATTAGGAAAGAAATACTTCTGTGAGTCATTTATTCTATAGGATATATACTGCTTGGAGATTTTAATGTAGGTTTGACAGAAATTACTGTACATAGGGCTTGAGAGCCTGATAACTTCAGAAACCAGGATTTTTCCATCATCAGAAGAAGAATAGGCCACTGTAGTTTGAAGATTTCCTGTGTCCCGGCTTGCTGGTGATCAGGACAAATCTTTCCCACTTGCATCCCCCAAGTAAACACACAGAGTCTTATACTAATTATAACTTCATGAGCATGGCTCAAACTTTTACTAGCTAGCTCTATATCTTAAATTAGCCCATAACTATTAATCTATATATCTCCACATGTTCTGTGCCTTTACCTGAGTCCCATTACATTTTGCTCCTTGGGCGGCTCGCTGGCATCTCTCTTGGCCTTCTTCCTATCTCTCCTTTTGAATTTCCCGCCTGCCTCTAAGCTGCCTTGCCATAGGCCAAATGACTTTGTTTATCAACCAATCAGAGCAACACATATTCACAGCATACAAAAAGACATTCTCCCATCACGTCACATTAGATGACTTAGATAGTCTTCAGCTCACATCCGGGAATCATAGAATCAGATAAAGCTAAGATTCAAAAGCATCATAGGATGTCTGTAAAGTAATTCCCAGGCATCCTGAGAAGTCTCCTTGCTGCAGGAGATGGAAGCTGTGGGTGTATGGAGAAAGAGATATATCCCTATATGGCCTAGAATAGTGGTTCTCAACCCCATGGGTCATAAAAGACCATCAGAAAACATAGATATTTACATTATGATTCACACAGTAGCAAAATTAGTTATGAAATAGCAATGAAAATAATTTTATGGTTGGGGGATCTCCACAACATGAGGAACTGTATTAAAGGGTCACAGTGTTAGGAAGGTTGAGAACTGCCAGCCTAGAGGATCCCACCCACTTCATTTCCAACCTTTACAAGACCCAAATTGGGGGTTGGAGCGGCTCAGTGAGGTTAGACTCACTTCACATTCCTCTTCTGTCCCCTCACCTCCCAATGATAAAATAGTTTTTGGATGGTGGCCTAGTAGACACCTGATGAGTATTATCTGCCTTGATTTTTTATTTTTATGTAGAATCCAAAGAATAGTTATTGAGACTACAGTTAAACCGTGAGGGTAAATATTTATGCTTTTAGAATGTAAGTTGGATAGACAGAAATTTGTCTGTTGACTCACCTAGTATCCTAACTCCCCATTGGACACATTGTTGTGGAATATAATTGTAACTGGCCAGAGATGTGTTACATTTGTTTGTGCTGTGGAATGTTACTGTAACTGTGTAAAGGTGTGTTACATTTGTTTCTGTTGCCTTTGTTAATGACGGAAAGATGTGTTACATTTGTTTTACCTCCCTAAGGCACCTGATTGGTCTAATAAGCTGACCGGCTAATAGCTAGGCAGGAGAGGGGTAGGCGGGGCTGGTGGGCAGAGAGAACAAGTAGGGGGAGAAATCTAGGCAAAGGAGAGAAAAGAGAACCAGGGAGAAAGAGAAGGACACACCAGAGTCAGAAGCCAGGCAGCTGCCAGCCAGCCAGACATGAGAAGCAATGAGAGTAAGATCTACAGAAGGAAAGAAAGGTAAAAAGTCCTGGGGCAAAAGGTAGGTGAAGAGAAACAGGTTAAGTTATAAGAGCTAGTGGGGCAAGCATAAGAGCAGGCTGAGCATTCATTACCAATAAGAAGTCTCTGTGTCATGATTTGGGAGCTGGGTGGGAGCCCCAAAGAAAAAGTCTGGTATATCACATGGAACACATCCAAATATTAGTTGAGTGAATATATGAATGAATTTTCAAAACTCTTATATAATGCTAAGGATGTGAGATTTATCCATTAACATAAAACTTTGCCTGGAATGTTTTATTTTTTTCAAGGCTTGAAAGAAATATTTCACCTTAAATTTATATTAGATAATATAGTAGTGCCAAGTGTTAAAAATATAAACACATCTCTCAATATATTTCAGAATCTAATGAAAGCCATATAGGATTAAGATTGCAGTGAGTTTATAAGTCGGTTTGGGGAAATGGAAATACTATTGAGTTTTCCAGCTCATGAGCAGAGTATAACTTTGTCACCTGTCAGCAGTCTTTTGTATCCTTATTACAGAAGTTGTTCTCAAATTTAGAAAAATTTATTCCTAAGAATTTTGCTGTTTACAGGGTATTATAAATAGTAACTTAAAAATCATTTTGTCTTCTGATGCCCGTGGCTTGTGTGCAGAAACAACCCTGGTCTTTGGTATGGACTCTGTGCTGTGTGTTCTCACTGAACTGACCTTGATCGTCCTTGTCATTATCTTCCGACTTCTCTAGAGGGCCAGAAGAGACAACTGTGCCACTCATGAGCAGTTTCACCAATTCCTTTGTGACTTCTCTGTCTCTTTCCTCTTCCCTATCATATTAAACTAGGACCTGAACCAAAGGGTAAATAGAGATGGGGAGAGTGGACACCTTTTTTCTTCGGATCTTCAGGGGCAAGGATCAGTATTTTCCTACTAAATCTGCTGGCTGAGGGTTTTGGAAAATGCCTGTACCAGACTGACAACTCCAGTGAGATTTCTCCTTCGGCCTGCCGCAGCTGTAACCCCGTTTCCTTGCCAACCCTCTCACCTTTTCACATGTTTGCTTTTTCTTTATGTCGTTAGGGCTTAGCCAGAGATTTTTAGTAGAATTTGTGCACCACATTTGGGTAGCCTCTGTGGCTTCCTGTCTTACCCCATTTAATCTATAGTGTCCACATTTTTAACAGAAACCAATTAGTGGAAACATCTTGTGGTGGAGAAAAGTGGACTCAAATCCCTTAAGTCTGCACGCATGTTGAGGCAAAGACTTCTACCTACTTGTTGCCTCATTTCCTTGGGATTGTTCAGTTCCCCACAATTCACCAGTCCAGCTACTGTGTCTGTCAGTAGCCTATGCTCTACATGCAGCCGATCACAGCTATCACTCAAGAGCATTTTGGTTTACTATTTTGATGGCAAGAAAAGAATGATACTTTTATGTCTCTTACAGCTTATCTATCTATAGATCCCCAGTTTTCATTTGGTGGGCTTTCCCATAAATGTAAATTTTAAAGGAGACCAACTACATTTACTTTTCAGACCATGTGGATGAAAGAACAATATGCAATGGAATCACCCCAGAAAAAGATGTAGATGGATTTCATATTATCAATATTGGAAGACTGTGCCTTGATCAGCATTCTCTGATACCTGCCACTGCCGGTGCTGTTTGGGAAATAATAAAGAGAACAGGTTGGTAACGTGGGTCTGTGGGAAATGGATGCCAGATGCAGGTGAGCTCTGGGGCCTTGCTTGGGTAGAGCTACCTCTGTCTACAAGTGACTGAAATGATAAGCATACAACTAAAGTCTATAAAAAATGCTATACATTTGTGAATGTCACAGGACAAGACAGAATAAAAGAAAATGAAGAGCATGTGCCATGTGATAGGCAACTGCAGCTGTAGCTTGTAGTGAATGAACCTTCCAAATGTGGCCATGTCTTCCTACTTTTGAATTATGCATTTTGATGACAATCTTTCCAAAGTGTATAATATTTTCTTACTTTGATAATGAGTTAATCTTACAAGAACCATGTCTATTGACTGTAATTTTTTAATAAAAGCATGTAGACTTCTACTGTGCTAGACACATTCTGCCCTCATCAGCAGGTGGGTACATTCATGAAGCTCTGTGGCTTTGCACGTTGGTGGCTTCCCTGCCCCCACCACGGTCAATTCTCCTTTGGAAACATCTTTTCCTTTCTAATCTGCTGATCTCTTAACTGATGGACAGACTCTCCAAGAGAAAGCAGATTCTACAATCACACACTTGCCTGTCAGTTCTTGGATAAGCCTCAGTTTCAATTTCTTCATTTTTCCTGTGAAGAAATGGCAACCCCACAAGGCAGAGAGCTGACTTCACTTCTTTCTGAGAAGTAAAGTGTGTGCACCTTCCACTTTATGTTATCCCCATCTCGCTAGGAGGCTGATTGTCATTTGTGCTTAATATTGTGGTATGAATTTCTAGTCTAATTAGCAGTTAGTATATTTTAAGACTATACACTTCATATGAAACTCAGCATTTAAAATGACTTTAATGGCAATGAGAATTTTTGTGGTTTTTTCAAATGAGGACATAATGAGAGAGGAAATGGCAAACCCAAGAAGTGTAAAAAGAAATATTTATAAATAATCCAGCGAGGGCATGCTATAGACAGGGTAGGAAATCCAAATTTAATTAGAAGTTTTTAAAGAACATTTCAGTCGGCTTTTCATATGTTTAATTTGCTTCTTCTTGTTAGTCATGCATTTAAACAAACTGTATTTTTTAAGGAATTGAAACATTTGGGAAAAACGTGGTTGTAGCGGGAAGATCCAAGAACGTGGGCATGCCGATCGCCATGCTACTGCACACGGATGGAGAGCATGAGCGCCCTGGAGGTGAGTGACCTGCGGGGCTTCCTGGTTGGAGGGTCCCCCTTATGACTCCTGATGGTGTGACTCTGCACACTTGTGGGTTCATGCATCGCATCTCATGGTGTGAAAACCGTGAATTACAAAAAGGAATGGCCGATGTATTAGTTCTTTCCTACGGCTGTGATAAAACACCATTGTAGCCTTACATTTCTCCGGTCTCACCCCACCCGGCTGTCCTGTGTTTCTCCAGTCTTGCCTGGCCTGTGGTCTTGCAGCCGCTTATAAAATAACCACTCAGAGGCTTAATATTAATTGCAAATTATATGGCCTATGGCTCAGGCTTCTTATTAGCTGGCTCTTATAACTTAATCCATCACTATTAATCTATGTATCGACACATGTTCCGTGGCTTCCCCTGCATCCTATTACATGTTGCTCCCTGGATGGCGGTTTGGCATCTCTCCTTTCACTATCTCGCTTGGATTTTCCCACCTGGCTCCATCCTGCCCTGCCATAGGCCAATGCAGCTTTATTTAATAGCCAATGAGAGTAACACATATTCACAGCGTACAGAAAGGCATCCCACAACACACCGTGACCTAGGCAACTTGTTGAAGAGCTTATTTGGGGTTTACATTTTCAGAGTTCATGATGATGGGATGGAGGTAGCAGGTAACCAGAGCAGCAGCTGAGAACTCTGTCTCCAACAGGGAGCAGGAGGTTGAACCACAGTGAGAATGGCAGGATGCTTCTGAAACCTCAAAGCCCACTGACACTCATCTTCCAACAGGGCCGCCCCTCCTGATCATTCCCAACGCTTCCACCAACTGGAGACCAAGTATTCAAATGTACTAGCCTGTCAGGGCTAGCCTTATTCAAACCACTACTGCTGAAAATATGTGACCCTTTTGGTCCTTTTCTTTTGCTTTCTTTCTTCGTTTTTTACTTATAGCTGTAAACACTTTTTTAAAACTCAATAACAATACAGACATTAAGAAAGGATAGAAGTCACCAGACACATAAAAATCATCACTTCAGAAAATTCTCAAAAAGTTGCATGTTGAGTTGTAGAATGGTTTAGTACACCACAAATCACCTGGTTAGTTCCCTTAACAGGAATGAAGCCTGGGGCTTGGGGCTCATAGCTGGTTGTCTGGGTTAGACAACTCTGTGTTGCTCGGCAGTAAGAGTGACACGTCACCTTGGAAGCCCAGTGAGATGTGAGGGCGTTTGAGAACGCGTACCACATTGTCCAGGTGCCTGCCAGCTCACCACCCTCCTAGGAGCTTGGGGTTTTCAACTGTCTCATAGCTGGGTGTTGAGCAGATCCACACCGAGGGCTGGTGACAGGGTGGGAAGAACATTTGGCAAAGGACAAGGGGTGTGAGGTTCACGGCTGTCTGAGCCAGTGCTGTGACAGGGGACAAAAAGTGCTCAGACCAAGTTTACGGTTTCAGTAGAAGCAGCGGTTAGTCTGCATATGGGCTACTGATGTTCACCGGGACCTTTACTGACCATCCTTCCTAATTCCTGCATTTTGCCCTATCTTCTATACAGTGGCACTTCACTGAGTTCTTTAACTACAAAAAAGCAGGCATACTTTTGTTAAATGACAGCACATGCACACACTACCATACATAGGCTTACAGAGATTTCTAAAAAAATATTATTAACCATGTTGAATCCCAGTTCCTGAGATCAGTTCTGTTTTTTTGTTTGTTTGTTTGTTTTTTGGCAAGTCTTTTTTTTAAAGGGTCTTTACTATGATAATACATATGAAAGAATTTTTTTAAAACTCAAAGTCCTATGGACTTATCTAAAGCAATGCCCAGACATGGTGGCACACATCTTTAGTCCTATCTCTCTAGAAGCAGAAGCAGGCAGATCCCTGTGAGTTCAAGGTCAGCTTGGTCTACATAATGAGTTCTAGGCCAGGCAGAGCTACTTAGTGAGATGCTATCTCAAAACCACAACAACAAAAAAAGTGATGAATGGATGGGCATGAGGCGTTTGAATTTTATTTTCTGTTCTAAGAATCTAGTGTAGGAAATACATGTACTTGGATCGTAGTAAGTCTGGCTGGATGGTGACTCCAGGCAGTTGTCAGAGCACCCATCTTCCAAGGCATCATTTCTACCTCACTCTTCCCTGCCAGCTCACTCTACACCATCCTCATGGTTGCGGAATACTGGTTCATCCTGGCCTTCGTATAGTATTTTTATGTTAAGCCAGGTAAAACCAGCAGAAATTTTACAAGAATATACTGTTTTTCATGGAAAACCTTGATGAAGAGACAAGTAAGTTTTTCTTCGTTTTCACCTTTTAGTTTTCTTGTCTCATCAGTAACATTCTGATCCCCATGTTTAGATGATCACTTTCTCATAAACTGTCTAGCCAATTTTCATTAATTCTGGTGCATAGAATTCATTACTATTCCCATTCTACAGATCAAGCTTGTAAGGCTTTTGTGGGCTTTGAGGAAGTGTAAGTCCCAGGACTGGGAGCCAGGGATGAGCATCTGCCGTAGTTAGGAGCACGATCAGTGTAAAGACTCATTGCTGATCCTGTGATCTCCAACAGCTGATTATCCAGTGTAGATTTTTACTTTTATTGTCAGTAAGAAATGCGTAGCATTAATATCTCTCTTACTTAGCTATTGTGAAAATTCAATGAAATAGAAGTTTTAAGAAAGCATCAGTTACAATGTGTTTGCAGGGTTACTGCCTAACACATAATAGGTTGAGTTACTACATGTAGCCATGACAACTGCTGTTGTTTCAATTACTTTTAAGTCAATGACCTGTAACACACCACTTACATATGTACAGGGAAATGCTCTGAGGTTAGTGAGGATCTCTCCCTTGACTTTACTTGAAACTTAGTCTCTTTTCCTGTTGAGCTTTATTTTTGCTTTTTAAAATAATATTTAGTGTTTTGTAAGAATTTGAATAAGCTCAGCTTAGGAAGGCTTACAAACCCATGATTAGATATGTTACCATAAAACTCCAACACTACTCGACAACATGCTTTTTTCTTATATGCTTCAGTATGTTACATGCTAATTTATTGTCATATTTCAATTATGAATTATTTATAAACTACCTTAGAAAATCTATCCCCTTTTAATTCAGTTTTAAACTATATAATACTATGCAACAAATATTGCCTTACATATTTTAGCATATGTAGTTATTTATAGATATGTACCTATGTAGTAAAATATCAAAATAAACACAGATTGATGGTAGTGATGATTTTTGAGGAGAGAATTATGGGATTAAAACTGATTACTTTAAAAACATTTCATATTTTGTTCAATAAAATTTCTCCCCTTAATAAATACTAAAAATGGAATACATGTAGAATTGGTTATAATGTTGCTTACAGACCAGGTGGTTAAATTTACCTTTATTCTAGTGTACTTTACTTCCGTTATAATTACTGTATCTAAAAGGTAACAAATTATACTAAAAATGATATTGAAGGTTTGCCACATGGGTGGTGTTTAATTACATACACAGTAGGATCATGGTGACATATATTATAATGAACTGTAGCTAGCAGCTCCTGAATGTTTGGAGTCTGTGGGAAGGCTAGAGCTTGAATGTCTTCGCCTGGCAGAGCAGTAATTACATGCTTGTTTGCTAATGGAGATAATGAAGGAGGATTAACTGCAAATTCACATCTAGAGACCTTGCTGTAATGACACAATGTTGAGCATGTAGCTCACACTGTGTATTGTTTTACCAGTGGAGACTCAGAGGCCTAATAATTCATTTTTTTTTTTTTTTTTTTGGGTTTTTCGAGACAGGGTTTCTCTGTGTAGCTTTGCACCTTTCCTGGAGCTCACTTGGTAGCCCAGGCTGGCCTCGAACTCACAGAGATCCGCCTGGCTCTGCCTCCCAAGTGCTGGGATTAAAGGCGTGCGCCACCACCGCCCGGCCCTAATAATTCATTTTTAATCTCAAAGAAAAAACTGATTTCCCTAAAAGGAAAAGACAGCCATACTGTCATTTAGTTTAATATATGTCTGTTTCCGGCTCACTAAGTTTTGTCATTAAGAGCACAAAGCTTGGATATTTGTAAGAAAAATCTTTTAGTTTACTCAGGACTTGAAACATTCAAGAATGAGAATGTATGTAAATCTCTAAGTGCGAAGACTGCATAACTGCCCACCTCAGCATTGAACAGAAGTGGGGATGGGACCACAGTCTCTGCAGGAGCTTGAGGAGGAGGTGAGCCACCTTAGAGCTCTCAGATGGAGACACGGATTCTCTCCTCCTTGACAGGCTTGGTGGAAGTGAGTGATGAAGGGGACATGGCATGCAAGGACAGGAATTTATAAACCTTCAGCGAAAAGCAAACACTCTGCTACTTAGGTCAGCCCAGGCTTGGGTGAAGTGACATTTCAAGATAATAGTGGAAAGTCGCTTCTCATGAAACTTAGCAATTCCTATGACGTTGAAGGACCATTGTGAACATCATGAGGGTATTCTTTTTATTTCTTATTTTTTCAAATTTAACTTTTAATTGATTCTTTGTGAATTTCACATCATGCATCTCGATCCCACTCATCTCCCTGTCCCTTCTAATCTACCCTCTACCCTTGCAAACACCTCCCCTACCCCTGGATAAAACAAAATAAAATTTAAAGGAAAAAAGAAAAAAAAAGAAAAGAAAAATCTCATGGTGGAAGTTGTAGTGTGAGACAGTGAATCACACAGTCCTTTAGTCCATATGTTGTTATTTGCAAATGTTCATTGCATTTGAGGTCTTTGGTTTTTGCTACATCATCAATACTGGATTCTGACTTGTGCTCCTCTTGGATATCCTGTTGCTGTCCTGTGTCAAGAGATCCTGTAACTTTGGGTCTGCAGGACCAGCTCCTTCTTGTGGAGAGCCATCCCTGAGGTCACTGGAGGGAGAAAGCTGGTCCTGCTTCTCACCAGCTGCAGAACTAGGCAGAGTCGTCTCCATACCTTGACTAGGCAACACAATAGAGCTGGTCTTGGTGGTTTAGGTGT